AGGAAGGAAGGAAGGAAGGAAGGAAGGAAGGAAGGAAGGAAGGAAGGAAGAGCCATGGTGATGCAGTGGTTACAATGCCGCATTGCAAGCTAACTCTGCCCACTGCCAGCAGTTCCTGATCCTGATTGGCTCAAAGTTGACTCAGTCTTCCATCCTTCCGAGGTAGGTAAAATGAGGACCCAGATTGTTGGGGGCAAGAGGCTGGTTCTCTAAACCGCTTAGAGAGGGCTGTAAAGCAGTGTGAAGTGGTATATAAGTCTAAGTGCTGTTGCTATTTTGTGCCTGTTGTGAGATGGCCAAATTTGCCAGCAAGAATTCAGCCTTGTGTCAACTCATAAAACATTCCTATGCCTGTTTTTGTAGTTGCCATAAAAAAAGGGGGTGGGGCTGGAGGAAGGAAATCTGGAAGAGCAGTGGAGCAGTTTGAAAGCGAAAGTACATTCCAATTCTTATTTTTAAAAGATTGTAACTAAAATACCTGAGCTTTTGCCCGCAAATATATTTAACTGGAGAATGTGAATGATAACACCCAGCCCGTGAAGGTGCTCAGTTGGAGAATCTGATTTAGGAGACACCCAGGGGGGAGGGGGGAAACAGGGTCACAGGGTCACATAAATTACATATGCCAGAGTTGGCTTCCTACAGGGCAGGGAAAGTATGTCGCCTCTAATAAATCTTTTGAAGTTGGTTGAAGTTTGGCTCGAGAATCATGATTTAATTCGGGCGATTGCTGGAATCCTGACACCTTGCTCTGAAGCAGGAGAGACCAACCTATCTGTGGCCAGGAGCCCACATGATACTTGATACTTTTGAGGGTCACAATGGAGAAGACAGTGATGCCAAGGGCAGGGGGTATCCTTGAGATTCTGGATGGAGTTTGGGCAGCTCTCTTTTTTCCTAACCTCAATGTTATAGATTACGCTAGAGGAAACCATGACATAATGACCAAAATGAGCTCCGCTCTAACCTACCCTCACTTGGAGACTAGAAGCAACCCCAGAGGTGTTATGTTTCTTTTCTTGTTCCTTAAACAAGAGTGTCTGGTTTACCTGGAAGCTTAAGTTTCCTACAGCAGGAGTTGCAGTGATGCTTAGCTCTGAAATTCTTAATGGCATCTTCTCCCAAGTTGGCAGGACCAAATACCATATCGCTTGACCTTTGGAAACACAACAAAGCTTTCAAAATTCTTTACAGGCACACCAGGATCTCTGCTTCCTAGGCAGAGCATCATTTAGGTCGCTTACCTTTTTTCTTCAGCTTTTATTACGGAAGGATCAGTCAGGTTTTCTCCGACACCTTCACAAGAAAGAGCAAAAGTTTATCAATGTGATTGTTGCTCAGACATTGCCCTGCAAAAGAGGTAAGGACTAAGCCAAGTACCATATTTGGTACTTGGCCAAATATGTCAGTGACATCTACCCAACCCATTATAACGAGGACGCAGGGAATGTTGCAGATCCCACCCCTGGGGGAGATACATCTGGTGGGACCTAGAAAAAGGGCCTTCTCCGTGGTGGCTCTGTCTCTCTGGAACATCATCTCCCCCCCCCCCCCGCCCCAGAGATTAGAATGGCCCCCTCATTAATACTATTCTGAAAGGCACTGAAGACCTGGTTTTGCTAGCGGGCCTGGGGAACCCAGAGAGGGATGGAACCCATCAAATGGCTCGTGTGATCCACTGTCGTCGGGACGGGGAATGAGAATTGTTTTTTGTTTCTTTGTTATTAGTTTTGTTTTTTGTTTTCCCAAATTTTGTTCTACTGTACTTTACTAATTTATTTGATTATTTTTGTTAGTTTTTATTGTTTTTATTTTTTGCTTTAAATATGATTTTGCATTGTATAAGCCGCCTCGAGTCGCCATGGGCGAATAGGAGGCAATATAAATCGAATAAAAAAGTAAATAAGCAAATAAGTAAGTAAGTAAGCGAGTAAATAAATAAATAAATATTTAATGTCAAGAAGCACCACTCAAGCCTCGCTTTCTCTCAGCTGCTGAATAGCAAGCTTTTGCCCCAGATGGTCCTCAACTTAAAAACAGTTTATTGAGTAACCATTTGAAGTTACAAAAAGCACTAAAAAAAGCGACTGGTGGCTGGTTTTTCACACTTACGACCATTACAGCATCCCCGTGGACGTGTGATCAAAATTCAGACGCTTTTGACCATCGGCTCATATTTATGATGGTTTAAAAGATTGGAAGATTAAAAGAAAAGAAAAAACAATGAAGAGGAAGAAATCAAGGATAAAAGTTCTTCTGGAACGTTTGATGGAATGAGAAGGAACCAAACTGAGTCGGTGACTGTTGAGACGGCGCAGTCCTTCGGTGCACAAAGCTGCAAGGAACAAATCTCCGCCTACCTTGCAGATCGAGGACCAGCAGCTCTCCCCGCGTGTATTCGTACGTCCAATGGCTGAAAGCCAACATGACCTCTTCCAGCATGTTGGTTGGAATGATTTCGTCTCCGTTGTTGTTGTTGTACTTCCTGAATTCTCCAGTCATGCATTCTTCAACGGCGAACCACTGCCCGGCGGAGTGGCAATACAAGAGGAACACTTCCAAGAACCTTGGGAGGAAGCATTGCAAGTAGTTGAGGGAGAACCTCATTTCTCTCTCTCTCTCTCTCTCTCTCTCTCACACACACACACACACACACTAAAAAAAGGGGTGCCACACCATCCAAATCCTCCTTAATATATTATTTATTTGTTTAATATCCAGGAAAATTAGTTGTTTGGGTATATTTCGAGAGAAATCTGTTCTTCTGTTTGTGCACAAAAACTCACACACAAAAACACATACAAGCAACAGCTGGCAGCAGCAGTTATTGCAGATTAATGTGGTCTATTAGTTTCTGCACCGAAGCAAACGATTTCCTACATCTAGAACAGGGGTCTCCAACCTTGGTAACTTTAAGACTTGTGGACTTCAACTCCCAGAGTTCCTCAGCCAGCAAAGCTGGCTGAGG